ACTTGATGTAGTCCCATCTATTTATCTTTGCCTTCACTATTGTGGCGTTGGGTGCTCTGTCTTTAAAGATGTCGCTGAAGTGTATGTCGTGTGGTTATGCTTTTTTAAAAGATTTATTTGTGCATGCAAGAATTGGGGTGTAGGCCAGAGGTGGATGGGGTTAGAAGGTCCACCAGAGACAGAATGAGCACAGAGCAGGTGGATCTACTAATACTCACTGCTGAGGGGAGCAGTGGGCAGGACATGAGAGGTCTATACCACGTGGGTCAGCTCCCTGGTCTGGGACTGAACTCACGCTTGGTAGTGCTGAGACTTTAACCCTTGTGCCACCGGGAGGCCCCCTTACGGTCACACTTCTGCCTGGGATGTGGCACACTGGACCCCCCCCAGCTTCAGTGCTGCTTCTTGCAGCTGTGAGCAAGAGGCTCAGTCACCGGCATTCTTCTCAGTCACCAGTCCTCTGGTCTCATGACGCCAAGTGGACTGTCCTGAGCTGAAGCTCACCCAGCGCTCAGTCCTCCATCCATGTTCCTTAAGACAGGCACCTTTTCCTGGTGCGTGCTCATGTGCGCCTGGTGTTTTCCAGGCCCAGGATCAGTTCAGACCCAGTTCCATCTTGAAAGACACTAGGCAGAGGAGACATTTCCTTTCTAGAAGGGACTCTTTCCAATGCAGTATTTACTTTTTGGAAAGGGGCTGGCCTGGCCTCAGCCTCTGGTGGTTGCAGGGATGTGGGTGCTTGCCATCATGTCCTCTGTCGAGAGCCTGGGTCGAATGCAGGAGGGACACGTAGGGTTCTGGGTAGAGGGCTTCTCAGCCTCCCGAAGGGGGGAACATGAGGACTTCTTGAGACCCTTGAACCAACGCCAGTATCTAGGCTTCCCAAAGACCAGTGCTCAGGCCCATCTGGTCACTGCTGTGTGGTAGGAATTGTACGAGGCTGTGGATGACCATGGAGACTTGACCTGTTCTCATGCCCGTGTGATGAGGCTTTGGCCATGTAAAAGTTACTTACTGTGCTCTGTGTGGGCTGAGTCCAAGGGATCAGGGCAGCATTCCTGAGAAAACCGTCTCAAACTTACCTGAAAGGGAGGGCAGAACAGGGTCCAGGCAGACGGTGCATCTTACGCAGAGGTCTGGAGCCTTAGAGTGCGCAGAGGTGCAGGGCTGGGTGTCTGCGGGCCCCAGTACCTGCCAAGCTCTGGCCACACTAGCCTGGTTGGCTCCTCCTATCCCTTCCTGGTGCAGCCTCAGACACACCCACCCACAGACATGACTCATCTGCATGGCAAGACCCTGCTCCTCCAGGGACAGGAGTTCTTTGTGGACAGGAGTTCCAGTATATTGATTTCCTTAGCCAGCCTCTGAGCTGTGGACGGTGGGGCTGGGCTCTGGGGCTTCGTTCTTGACCCTGAGGCCCTGACTGTGCCCTCCTCCTGCCAGCGGTACCTGGTGCCTCAGGCCCGTGCACTCTGTGGCCTGGATGAGAACAAGGCCAAGCTGTCATCAGACGTGCTGACCCTCCTCATCAAGCAGTACTGCCGGGAGAGTGGTGTCCGCAACCTGCAGAAGCAGGTGGAGAAGGTGAGCTGGTGCTGACTGAGCTGACACGCAGGGAGATGCTGCACCGCCCTTCGCGACCTCGGCGTCGTGTTCACAAAGTAGAGGACAGGTGCTAGGGCTGGGAGGTGGTGGTGTAAGGGTCAGCGGTCGGTTGAAAAATGAGGAAGTTCTAGAGATGGATGCTGGTAATGGTCCTACAACAATGTGGGAGTTCTTGATGTCACTGAACTGTGCGCTCAAAAGGTTACGGTGGAAGGAAAGCAGTTAGATGGCCCCGTCGCGTGCATTTATGAACCCAAAAGGAGAACTGGGGTCTGAGGCGTGGCTCCCCCATCCTACTCCCCAGGTGTTACGGAAGTCTGCCTACAAGATTGTCAGTGGCGAGGCAGAATCGGTGGAGGTAACACCAGAGAACCTACAGGATTTCGTGGGGAAGCCAGTGTTCACCGTGGAGCGCATGTACGACGTGACGCCCCCTGGCGTGGTCATGGGGCTGGCCTGGACCGCCATGGGTGAGCTGCCTATTCTGGGGGAGTGCTGGGCTGTGCTGGGGAGCTCTCCAGGCCCTTCCCTAGTCTCCCCTGGGAGGTGAGGTGGCACCTGAGCTGTTAGCTACAAATTGCTGAGTGAGTGTGTATAGTGGCCCCAGGAGTTCTAGACTTGAAGTGGGGAGGGGACTGCTAGGATAGGCAGTAACATAACACCCAGTCAGCTTTGCACTGAGGGAGGAGTAGGGGCAGGCTGAGAGAGACCACCACTTCAGGAGAGCTCAGTTGTTTGGCGAAAGGAAGTTGGACTGGTTACTGTGTCCGGCCTGGCATTTTTAAAGCCCAGGGACACTTACACTGGCTGGCAGGGCTGGGCAAGCAGGGGCAGCTACAGAAGAATCTGGCTGCTCGAGCAATGTTTAAAGCAGTGGTGTCTAAGAGCCAGACTGCTGCCAGGAGTCGGCAGGGTACGGCCAAGCACTGGGCTGGCTTTCAGTCTTTCCCATGACCCTGCTCCTCCCATTCAGCTGGAAGTGGCGGAGGAGAGCCGGAAGGCAGTGGGCAGGCTGGCCAGCAGCAAGGAGGCTGGGAGTGCAGTCTCCTGGTGGTCACAGCGCCGTGGGTTCTGAGTCCTCCCGCTCGTCTCCCAGGTGGTTCCACGCTGTTTGTTGAAACATCCCCAAGACGGCCACGGGACAAGGACAGCAAGGGAGATAAGGACGGGAGCCTGGAGGTGACAGGTCAGCTGGGGGAGGTAATGAAGGAGAGTGCGCGCATCGCCTACACTTTCGCCAGGGCCTTCCTGATGCAGCATGACCCCACCAACGAGTACCTGGTGACCTCGCACATCCACCTGCATGTGCCTGAGGTGAGCACAGTGACCCCCTCCCACGGCCAGCCTGCTGCGCTCACTGGCTCACCCACCTACCTCCCCGCGTCTCCCCCAGGGTGCTACCCCCAAGGATGGCCCTAGTGCTGGCTGCACCATCGTCACGGCCCTACTTTCCCTGGCCATGGACCAGCCTGTACGGCAGAACCTGGCTATGACTGGCGAGGTCTCCCTTACAGGCAAAATCCTGCCAGTGGGCGGCATCAAGGAAAAGACCATCGCAGTGAGTGTCTAGAACCTTCGCCAGGCCAGGCCAGGGCGCTAGGGATTTTAAAGTGTCAGAGACTTTCAAATGTCCTTAATATTCACCTACAATTCCAGTGCACTTTTGGGGCTGGGGGAGGGGGGGACCCTCTAAATGGAAAGCTATGATTTCAGAAACTGACAACTTTCACAGGGAAAGGGTGGGTGAAGGGAGCTCTGGCACTGCTCCGTCCACAACAGTCCGTTCCATCCCCACTGCAGTGAGGCGGTATCTGGCTTCTGAGACACGTTCAGTGGAACCTGGGTGAGCACAGCAGGCTCCTGCTGACTTGCCTCTTGTCCCCCACCCCAGGCCAAGCGTGCTGGAGTGACCTGTGTCATCCTGCCAGCTGAGAACAAGAAGGACTTCTATGACCTGGCCGCCTTCATCACTGAAGGCCTGGAGGTGCACTTTGTGGAGCACTACAGGGAGGTCTTCGACATAGCCTTCTCCCAGGAGCGGGCGGAGGCCCTGGCCATGGAGCGGTGACGGCAGCCAGCGGGACCAGCTGGGCCGAGACTGTAGGGGGTGGGGACTTGGGACAGCCGAGGAAGCGGAGCCGGCGGCCTGGAACCCAAGGACTTCAATTACGGATTAATCAGAGTATGGAGCCTATGGACTGTAATTATGATTAAAACCATTTTCAGTACTGCTTACCCGTCTGTTGCTGTGTGTGCCCGTGACAGCGCGTAAGCGGGGGAGGCTGGGGGCTGGACAGGCCAACTTCCAAATGCAGCAGAGGACCCCAAGGTTCTGAAAAGCTTTTATTTGTGTACGGGGATGGGTGGTGAGAGGGTTAGTCTTTCTTGGCAGCTGCCTTCCTCATGGCAGCCAGGACATTGCTCAGCTCCTCTCTCTTCCTCTTGGCACGGATGTGTGTCCCCACCTGCCAGGTAAGGCGGGCATCAGCTGGAGGCCTCAAGGCCCACCCTGCCCTGCCAGACTGCCCAAGTCCTGCCCTCCCCCACCTCAACTCTGGCATGGTGTCACATGCAGCTCAGGTGTCTGGCCTGTGCGCATACGTCCATTCAGACTGCAGCCACCCAGCTAGTTTCCAGTCTCGGGCATGTACCCATTTGCCCACCGCCTCTATCAGCTGGTGTCCACCGTCCTGTCTCATGAGCCAAGTCCTCTGTTAAGTTTTGCACCTACCCTTTTCTTGATGAACTTGAGGGCCCGCTTGTCTTTGGAGACCTTGAGCAACTCCATGGCACGCCGCTCATAGGGGGCAAAGCCACACACCTCCCGGATCATGTCCCGCACGAACTTGGTGTGCTTGGTGAGGCGCTGCGCAGCAAGGGAGGGGTTCTGAGTGGGACGCTCAATGCCACGTCACCCGGGGGGCATGGGTTGTGTCTGGCACAATTAAGACCGCAGTGTCCCCCATGCCGAGTCCCGCTATCAACAAGGCCTGTCAGGCACGGCCCTCTAGCTGATTCCTAGGTGACAGCCAGACACCCCAAGTCAGAACTGCCTTTCTCTTGCGTTTAAGAACTGCGGTGCAGGCCAGGGGTGTGGGGGTGAGAGGATTCACCAGAGAGAGTGGGGAGAAGAGCAGCAGACTGAAACACTGCTGCGGGGCGCCAGGAGGGGGTCTGCTGCGCCCAGGCCGGAGATCGAACTCAGGCCGTACGGGTGCCGGCGCTGCGACTTAACCCCTAGGCCGCCAGGGAGGCCCGTGGACGGCGTCCACAAGCCCCAACGAACGCCACCGTTCTCACCAACCCAACCTCGACCGGCCGCCGGGTCCACTGCACGGACAGCCCGTCAGCGGCCTCTCGCGACCGCGCTCCTCGCCGAGCAGCAACTGCCTCCACTCACTGGCCTCCGGAGCCTGCCACCCATCCCCTTCGCTCCGCCGCGCCCCGTCGCGCGGCGCCCTCGCCCGGGCCGCGCCTTCCGCCCCGGAACCTCCCCGCCTCCTTCTCCGCGGACCCTGGCACTCACCCCGCGGCGGCGGCTGTGTCTCGGTTTGCTCACGTTCTTGGTCACCTTGTGGCCCTTGTTGAGGCCCACGGCCATAGGGTAGCGCAGAGCCATGGCTGTACACGGGGGTAGAAGAGACGATGAGTTCCGGCCTGGTCTCCGCGGCTCAGAACCCTGCGCCCCGGCTTCCCCGAGCTCCCTCACTGCACCCAGTCACCCCTCCGAGCCGCACGAATATCCCGAGAGTCGGATGGCGGTAGATACCACACGCGCGGAGCCCCACTAACCAGCTGCTGTGTGATGGCGGCCACAGAGAGGACGGCGCCGCACGGAACTCTGGGATATCTACCCTCCACGGCAGGCGAGGCCCAGAGAGGCTCGAATGACGCGCGCTCCCTCTGGCGGCTGGAGGCTTCCCTGCGGTCTTCCTGAGCATGTGCGAGGGTTCTAGGGCGTGCACGTTTATCCCCTAGGAGGAACCAGCCTTGGTGGGTGGGTGGTTCCTGGTGGCTGCTGCACCTCTCCCTCTGTGTTGACAATTTGAATCCTACTTCTGCTGCTTGCTGGCTAAAAATCGCACTGGTTCCTAACTGGCTGACACTACGCCAAGACTTTCACCTCCCAGTACTTCAATAAATATTTATAGGATGGGAACAGTAATAGCCCCATCTCAAACTGAACAAGATGGAATGGTATCCTGTGCAAAATACAACTTCCATTCATGGGAGGACAGTAGTCTCCCTCGCTCTCCTCCCCTTATCCGCTAATTGTTTACCGGATTGGCAGTCAATCTGTAAAAAAAAAAAAAAAAAAAAAAAAAGTAATGTACAAAAAGGCATTTTATAAGAGACTGTATTCACATACAAGAATATAGCTATAGTTGTTCTATTTTATTATTGTTGCTGTTCATCTCTTACCATGGCTACCTTACAATTCGAACTGTATTATAGCCATGCATGATCTGGCTTTAGTGCTGTCTGCAGTTCAGCATCCACTGGGGGGCTGCAAACTCACTCGTCCCAGCAGGTGAAGTGGACTAATGTATTGATTTCGCCACACGTAGTCCAAGCTCTGGGTTAGGGCTAAGGTAGGTAATGTGGTATATGCCTCCTGGAGACATTTGATATATTTTGGAGTAATTTTAGGTTGTGGGATGGGTGTCCTGGTGGAAACAAAAAGACTTTCTGGTTTTTATCTTTCACACCTGTTCATCTCCAAGAGCCTGTCTCCGCTTGGGGCTGGTCTGGTAGAGGTTAGCCCTTCTAACCCCTGCTCGCTGTAGTGACTTGGACAGCCAATAGTAGCTAGCAATTCACCAGACTGTATTTGTTCTCCAGCTATCTAGTTATCTTTACATTCTATTTTATTTATGAGAGTAGCACTGGTCAGGGAAAGTGTTAATTTGCAATTAACTGGTGCAAATATAGTCCAGACCCAAGAGGAACAGTGAATTAAGAGAATGCCACTGACTACCCCTCATTGAGAAATGTGAACAAGGAGCACCAACTTCTGTTTGAGAAGATGCCATGAGGTCACGTACATCGAGTGCTCGTGACTGATGCACTTTACCACAACTGCCGTATAAACTGTGTATTTCATGCTGCAAATAAATACTGAAGTTCACACTCTACCTGCCTTCCTGCCTCCAATTCTCTACCTGGGGTTTAGAATTCTAGTTCCAGAACACATTTCCCTTTTCACTTGCCAGTTGCCAGCAAACTGGAAGGACCGAGATCTGAAGAAGAGACATGCTGGAGAAAACAGATTTTTATTATGAAAGGAGAAGCTGGGTCCAGCCCCAAACACATTCTTCCCCTCTCCTCCTCAGCCCCACCACCAGGTGGACTGCTTTGAAAACAAATGAGAACAGATAAAGGACCCAGTGGTTTCAGGTGGGAGATGAAGAGGGTTCCAAGGGTGACTCAGGATAGTGTGGCCTGTCAGATGTGGCCCTGGGACAAGTTGTATCACCTCTGTGAACCTCAGTTTTCTCATCTGTAAAATGGAATCAGTATGAATGAAGGCCAAGATGCAGGTAATGCCTCTCCAAAACCCCGACAAGGTGCTTGCACACCAGGGCTCTGACTGTCTCCAGGTGCTGGGAGGTCTTTTCCTCTTCTTTTGCTGCCTTGATGACTCCACCTTGGGCCACGGCCACTCTCTGAGAGGGCGCTCTGGGGCTGCTGGATGGAGGGTCCTCTTCTGGGACAATAAAGAACTGAAACTTAGGCCGCAGCGGTGGCTGTGCTGTTGAACTCCTGGCGGATGAACCAGGGCCGTGGTTGTGGCAACCAGCCCCGGAGCAGGCAGAGCAGGTGAAAACGCCACGGGTAGAAGACTCTGGAGGCACGTGTGGCGCCGCCACGGATCACAGCCAGGGCTGCCTTGGGCCCTGGGGCTGCTTTGGCCCTCGTGATGCCCCTGGGGATGGCAAGGTTAGGTGGAGGTTGCAGCTGGGTGGCGCCCTCAGCTCCCAGCCCACCATCTCCCTATTCCAGTCCTGGGCCTCACCTGAATCGCTCAGTGGCAGAAGCAAGATCCTGGAGGCCCAGGACGCACATGGTGATGGCCACATTCACATCCTGCACATCCAGCTCTCGCCTCAGGGAGCTGAAGAAGCCGTCTAGCGCAAGCTTGGCTGCAGAGTAGGGGCTGGAGAAGGATGTGGGCACCCGGCCTGTGTACAGAGGGCAACAGCTGAGCAATCGGGCGCTACTGCTCCCCCTCTGGAGAGTCTTCCTGTCCCCTCCAAAATTACCCGCAACGACCCTCCCGACTCCTCTACTTGCACGCACCTAGGAGCGAGGACACCACCACCAGGGAGCCCTTGCTGTCAGTCAGGCTGGGTAGGGCCAATGAAGTCAGCTGCACATAACTCAGGAAGTTCACCTGGAGGGGGCGACTGCGAGTCAACCAGCGGAGCAGGAAACCAAATTACGGAAGGGGCGGAGTCTATAACACATGGGGGCGGGTCTTGAGGGGCGGGGCCCGATGATTGACAGAGCATGGGAGAGGAGGCAGAGCCTGTCCCGGAATCAAGCCAACACCCCCAAAGAGGAGGGGCCTAGGGCCGGAGGGGCGGGGCCTGGGAAATAGGCCCTGCCCGCTGGCACTAGAGGGCGGGGCCAGAGTCGCGGAGCGGCGCCGCACCTGCAGTAGCCAGCGCGTCGCCTGGGCGTCGCGGGCCCGCGAACCCGCTGGCGCGGCGCCAAGATGGTTCAGCACGAGGTAATCCAGCCCTCCTGCTCGGAGAATGCAGTCAGCCCGGAGCTAATCCTTGAGGCTCCGTCCCCTGGTCCCGATGACGCGCCGACTCCAGCCCCGCTCCCGCGAAATACGGAACCCTGACAGGAGATTGACCCAAAGAGCTCCGCGCCCGAGGTGGCGCGCGGCTGAGGTAGAAAATGCCTGCCGGCCCTACTCTTTGGATCTTGTCAGGCTTTGCCCCTCCCTGATCCAACGAGGGCCGCTCTAGTGTTCCACTCGGGGTGCAACAACGCTCCATCCCTCGCCACGCCCCGGAACCCACCTATTTCCGCCCTTAGATACTTGCTATGACTTTACCGCCACCCCGATTCCTTTAGTGGCGGAGACCAATGTCCCAGACTCCAGGCTCCGCCCCTCACCCAGTTTGTCCAGCGCAAACTGCACCACGTGCTTGGGCACCTCAGGGGAGGCCATGTCCGCAGCGATGTAGAAGACCTTGGGTGCGCCCAGCTTCCGGCAGTTCCCTACCACCTGGGGGGGGCCAGAGCTGCCCGTGGGCCCCTCCACCCCAGCTAGCCCCCTTCCACCTATCAGTCCCACAGGAACCCCAGACTAAAGCCTCCACCCCTACTCCTGAGCTCCCAGTTCCCAGTCAACATCATTCGTAAACCTTTCCCATTGGGCCTGCAAACTGACAGCCTATGGTCTAGAAAAAGGGACGGTTTATTTGCAAAGTGACATCTGTAGATTTCGAATCTAAGATTTCTGGCCTCTCTTGAAAATGGAAAAGTTTGTTCCCAAAAGCAGTACATTTCCTTGGTGCAAAAATCGGGTGTTGCTACGAACTGTCTCCCTCCCCCGATTTGAGTTTGAAACCCCTGCCTAGAGGCAAGCACGGCAGTACCCCCATTTATTGAGGAACATCACCCACTTTACTGTGTTACTCTACTGTCTTTACTGCATCAACCTAGCACCAAAACTCACAAATACTTTTGCAAACAAGGAGACTAAAGCTCAGATAGGTTAAGTAGTTAGCGCAAGATCACACAGGAAGTTTGAATCCTTGCGGTGATTCAGAACCCAGGGCCCATTTTCCACTCTATTCCTGTCCCCACCATTAAACTCAAAATGGGGTGGCTCACCTTCTGCAGGAGGGCCTCTCTCTGGGCTGTGATGACAAGGTGGGAACCCAGGCGGGCATAATGATATGCCAGCTCCTCTCCCACACCTGCACTGGCTCCTGTCAGCAGCACACGCGCCCCCTGGAGGCTGGCTGGCAGTGAGCAGGAGGGTCAGCCTGGGGGACAGACAGGCAGCCCGCCCCAGTTCCTCCCCCTTCCAACCTGCTGCCAGGAACTAACCTGGGTCAAACTTGTCATCCCAGTAATAGGCGAAAAACAGGGCTCCCAGCCCTGTGAGGAGCAGCACCTTCATGGCCCTCCTGTGGTCTGCAGAGAGAGAGAAGGCAGCTGGCACAGGCCTGGCCCACAGCCACACCTGCTTCCCCAACTATACCTTTGTTCAGTAAGCATGGGATAGGCACTGGTGTGGCCCTGACACCTCTTCTCCACCTCTGCAGACACCATCAGGTCTAAGTCACCACATAGTTCACTTGAACCAAGGCACCTATTTCCTGCCACCTTCACGAAGCAGTAGCAACAGCAGCTGGACCACATGTTGTTTTTTTCCCTGCTGAAAATCCTCCCCATTTGTTTTGTCTTGTTTTGTTTCAGGAACAAAACTAAAGGCTCTATAGGGACCAACTCTGGCTCTTTTGCTTTGCTACACTGGCCTTTTCCTGGCTTTGAGTCAGAAGTAGCCTGTCAGGATCCTGGCTCAGGACCTTTGCAGTGACCAGTCCTTTTGCCCACATGCACTTCCCAAATGAAACTCAGTGGCTTACTCTCATCTTTTTCAGGTTTCCGTGTAAACATTACCTTCTCCAAAGGCTTTCTTTTCCGGTCTTTCCCTTCTTGGGAGCACTTCCCTTCCTGGTCTTTGTCTCCTTTATCTCTCAAAGGGGAGCAGTATACCAGAAATCTTGTTGATGATCTGTTACATGCTCACTGTCTCTGGCAGCCCTAGGAGGGCAGGGAGGAAAGGAAAACATGGCTCTGCTTTGTTTACCCTTGGGGCTTCAGTGCCCAAAATTGTGCAAGGCACACAGTAGGTACTCAGTAGATACTTGATTCATACAGTGTGAAATAAGAATGTGGGAATCAAGAGCTAGGGGAACCCAGAAAACAGAATCAGTCAGCAACACCTGGAAGGAACCAGACACTTGGGGTGGGTTGGGAAAAGAGTTGGTTAAAGAAACAGGCTGGATTCTTAAGGTTTAGGGGTCACAGTTCTCTCCCAAAAAGGGCACAGGCCCATCACATTTTGGGATTTCCATCCTCTGAACTCAGTGAGACAGAGGAGAGGTACTTCCAAGACCCAAGAGCCTGGGAAGAGGTGAGGTTGGGAAGTCCCCAAATACCAATCTCTAGATCCAGCCATGGGTCCTGCAAAGTTCCAGCTGTCTCCTCTCTGACGTCTCCTGACTCAACATGCTTTCTCCATCCCACGACTCCATGCAGCCAAATGAAACTTTATAGACAAACAAAAAAACCAAGCTCACCCAGCCTTTCCTGCTACAAACCCTTCCGAGACTCATCCCTGCTCCCTGATGGAGACCATCCTCCTTACCTACCTAGCTCCAAAAACCCTGAGGATCTAGCTCCTGCCTACCTGTCCATCTTCATCTTTCATGAACCGATTCTCAGAGAACTATGCACGGAGTATGCACACGTACTCTGGACAGGGTACCACTAATACCTCTCCCACCTTCCAGGGACAGCCCGCGGAGCCCAGGGCCCAACCATCTTCCTACCCACGCAAAGACGCAAAGACCACAGCAGCTCCGCGGGCTTGGCTGGCTATCTCGGTGGGTGGGTGGGGGGATGGAACAACTGTGCTGCGATGGGGAGGCACAGGGCTGACCACGTTCTCACGGAACTCGCTGGACCCCCGCCATCCGCATGGGCACTCGGTTTCCCCTCAGAACAAAGCTGGGGATGCTACCCCGCTGTGCGCTCCCAAGCACGCACTCACCACACGAGCCTATTTCCCCCGCCGTCCGTCCGGCGGGGCAGCCAAGCGCGAGCCAGTCGTAGCCCCCTCGCGTGCGCGAGCCAGTCGTAGCCCCCTCGCGTGCGCGAGCCAGTCGTAGCCCCCTCGCGTGCGCGAGCCAGTCGTAGCCCCCTCGCGTGCGTCTCGCGGCGGCGCCGGGCCCGGTCTTTGACCGCGCCCCCTCCGGCGGGGCCCACGACAAGCAACTCGAGTCCAACCTCCTGCAGTAGAGACGCCCAGGCATCCGGCAGGGGCGTCCATGGGTTGCCAGGCAACGACCTACCGTTTGGCTGGCCCCGCCCCTAGGTGGAAGCCCCAACGCCGAGCCGGACCAGCTTGGCGGGTGGGTGGCTGGTGTGTGTCTGCCTCCACCCCGCCCCACAATTCCACCCTCGCGTTGCCGTGACAACAGATTTCTAGGTACCTTCCTCCTCAGTCCGCACTCTGAGGTCCCCCGCAGGCGCCGATAAATCTCTCCGGCTCCGACATCTTTTTGGGTCTCTTCAGGCCTCACTCCAGACCTCCGACTCCCGGTTCCCTCACGCTACCTGGGCGGTGCCGCACCGGACTACATTTCCCGGAAGTCTTGGCGGCAGGACGAACCTTCCGGCCACTCGCTGGGCTGTGAAACTACATTTCCCAGACAACTTTGCGGCGGCGGGACCGTGAAAATTACACTCTCCGGAGTCCTTGCGCGACGGGACCCCAACCCGTGTTAGGCGTCTCGGAGCTTTAAGGAGACTGACTCCCGGAGGCCTTTGCCGCTGACGAGGGAGAATACACTTCCCAGAGGCCTCTGCGGCGCTAGACCGGAAGCCACGGACGACTGCAGTGTCCTTGCGCGCGGCGCCGAGCGAAGACGATGTCCCGAATGTGGTCGCTGATGAGGTGCGTGGGGCCGCCCGGCGGGCCCGGAGCCCCGGAGAGAGCCTTCTCCTGCGGGCACGCCCCTCCCGGTTTCCTCCCGAGCCGCTCCCGGTTTCCCTTAGTGTCAGCCCTGCTGGGCCTAGGCTCAGACTCCCGTCTCCTTCCTGTTTCCCGGCGAGCTCTTGCTTCCCGATTCTGCATCCAAGACACCTCCGAGTCCCAGTTACCGATTGTTGGAGGTTAATGCGCGTCCAAGTTAATGCGCGTGTGACCCCGGAAAACACCCCGGGACTCTTTAAAAAGCCCCGCGGATTGTTCGCGAAGCTAGCTAGCCTCGCGGAGCCAGGCAGTAGGTCAGGAGTTGGCACTTGCCCCTGCTCCCTGCAGGGTCACGAGTGGCCCACCGTCGCTGCCTGCCCACCGGTTAACGGGCTGAGTAGCCTTGCTCTGCACTCTGTAAAGTCAGTGCTGTGTGTCTTGGGGGTCAGGCGCGGGGTGGGGTGTGTGTGCTCCCAGGGTGCTTAACCTTGTTACCTGTCTGGCTTCCGGTATGTCACTTTTTGAGCCGTGTTCCTTACCCACCCGGGTCTAACTGCTCCTTCTGAGCATCTAGACCCCCAGGGTGGCCAGCCCTATCTGTTAAGCGACTATGTTTCCTTCTCTGGCTTCAGGTTTCTCATCAAAGGCAGTGTGGCTGGGGGCGCGGTCTACCTGGTGTATGACCAGGAGCTGCTGAGTACCAGTGATAAAAGTCAGGCCGTCCTCCAGAAGGCTGAGGAGGTGGTTCCCCCTGCTATGTACCAGTTCAGCCAGTATGTGTCTCAGCAGACGGGGCTGAAGATACCCCAGGTACCTCGGTGTGGGAATGACATCCGGGCTTGGTAGCAGGGCAGTCCTTGGTGTCCTCCCGCCTCTGGACGGACACTGGGTGTTGGACACTTGTCTCTTCACCTCTTTTCTCAGCTCCCAGCTCTTCCCAAGTTTAACTTTCACTTCCAAGATTCCTGGAATTCAGGTAGGCCTATGGTCGGGCTGCTTGAGGGTGGTCCTCATACCCTAGTCCTGCACCCCTCCCATCCCCCTCCTTTGACTATGCCTTTCCGATGTTCCCCCTTTCTGCTGTGTGTGCACCCTCCACATACCCAGGAGAGAAGGGGTAGAGATTTCAGGGAGTTGGGCGCAAGATGGAGCTCACCATGTGAACCCAGGCAAGGCCCCGCCCCTCCTCTGCCTCAGTTTCCTTAGTAGAATCGGCCGGGCTGGAGAGGCATCCCTGAAAGCCTCGCAGAGCTAGGGCTTCCGCAGCGCTTGGGCTAACTCCCTTGGCTGAAGCCTCAGTGGGTCCTGGATCCTCTCTCCCCACAGGCATCGTTACAGTGATGTCTGCCCTGTCGGTGGCCCCTTCCAAGGTCTGCGACTACACCAAGGAGGGCTGGGAATACCTGAAGGAGCGAGTCAAGTAACCTGGACGTTCGAGGAGCTGCCTGCCTCTGTTGGAAGTGGCAGGTATGCAGTGAACTGAAGACTCCAGACTGGGACCCTACTCCAAGGGCAGCTCCTGGCCCTGCCGGCCCAATAAAGGACTTTGGAAACATCCCTCTCCCACATGCGTTCCCGGGGGCATATAGGTGAACCCAGTTGACACCCAGAGTCAAAGGGTCCTGGACGGCAGGCTGTTGGGGATTTCTTAGGGCCTACCTGACCTTGACCTGACCTTCTCCCCTTTGCTGTTTAGACCCCACTGGGCATTCCACCTGATATGGGGCGAGAGCAAATCATAGACTGGTGCTCCATGGACACTTTGAACTGTGGATCCCCCCGGGGTGGGAGGCACTGAGCCCAGCAAGCACACGAGGAGGAAAACCAGCCTTGTGGGAGGCCAGGGGCTATCCTAGGGCACAGGCTCGGCCCTCCTTCATCTCGTCATCTTACCCTGCAGCTGAAGGAACTTGGCTGTGGAGCTATCCTCTCAGCTCTGTGTGGGTTATTCCCTGAATCTAGACCTGGCCCCTGATGTCCACAGTCTGTCATTTGTCACTAGCCATGGCTGGCCCAGGGTCAGCCAGCTGCCCTTCCATCTTTTACATGGACCGAGCCCCCAGCCTGGACCAGTGTGCAGTTCTTGACCCAGCCCTCTTCTAGCCATCACCAGTGCCAAGACCCCTGGTCTTCCCGTCTCCACCCACCGCCCAGTCTATTTCCCAACAACCAAGTCTGACCTTGCTACCCTCCTGCTCAAAATCCCACGGCTCCCTGCTGCTGGTCCCAGTAGCCTAGACTCAGAGAGGTCCTCTACTTCCTCATCTTGGACCTTCCCAGATATTCCGGGCTCCCCTTGGTTCCCAGACTGGTTTCCACCACCAGCCTTTGCCCCATCAGTGAGCCTCCTTGCCAGGTAGGTCACCCTCCTGGCTGACTCCAGTTCACCCTACTCATAGATGCCCCTTTACCAAAACCTGACCCTTCCTTCCCACTCAAGACTGAGTTTAATGTCTTCAGCCCTGGTGCATGCCCTATTTTTGCATCAGCCACCTCGGGGCAAGGTTTCCCCATCTCAGTATCACTGACATTCAGAGACAAGTCAGATTTAAGGTCTGTCTGGGCACTCTGCCTCCACCCCCTCCTCCCCAAATAACCCCTCTGCCCCTCTGCATAGCCATGACAGCCACAGATGTCACCAGATATTGCCAGAGGGTCCCTGGGGATAGAACCGCCCTAGTGGCGAACCCCGACATTGGAGGCTTGAGTGCAGCTGCAGCAGTGGATACTGGGCCTAAAACAACTTGGTTCTCTCATGGGGAGGTCAGAAGTCCAGCCGCTGTCTTGCTGAGTAGAAAACAAGGCATCAGTGGGGCAGGGGTGGAGGAGAAAACCTATTTCCTGCCTTTGCAGCCTCTAGAGGCTGCTGTATTTCTTGGCCTGTGTCCCTTCGTTCTCAAGAACAGCTCAGACGGCCTCAGCAGTCCTGCCCACTCAAGTGAGGACCCATGTAAGGACACTGGGTCCACCCAGAGATTGTCTTCCTTCTAAAGGCCCGAAATCCCCTCTGCAAAGTTCTTTTTGCCACATGTACATGCTCCAGGGTCTTGGATGGGACCTCTCTGAGCCAGTGGAGAGGGCCACCCCCGAGGCCCTGTTCCAGCCTGAAATGCATCTTCTCAGTCCTTGCTCTGGTGAGGCAAGGGGATGGTGCCAATGCAGCCTAAGGGGCAGCAAGGAGGAACAGTGAATTCAGTGGAACTGGAGGTGAGGCTCTGACGAGCCCAACACTGGCAATGTGTGCTGGGCACAGGGCCCACACTGCTTCCTTAGGTCTCTCCATTCTGAGCCATGTGGGTGAGTGGTAGACCAGTTCCGCCCTGTATAACGGAGGGCATGTTCATGAAGTCTGGGCGCAAGTAACACACCCAAGCAGTCAAGAGTCATGTTTCCAACTTACTTGACCCCAAAATGGGCTTCTGATGAACTAGAACCTGGAGTAGCTGCAGAGACTGCATATAATCTGATGAGAGGTGGGGAGAGAAGGGGGACATGGTCTCGTGACAGCACTCCTCACCTTGTGCTAGCCTCAGAAGCAGCCTACTAGCCCCATTAAGCCGGCAAGCACCTGGCAGCCAAGAGCTGAAGGAACTTGCCCCAGGTGGGTAGAACCGTAAGCAGCATGCCTTTAACTCTCATGCCAGTCTTCTGGGTCTGCCACGTTGTTGGCTAAGACCTCAAGGGTCTCTAGGCTGCTGGTATCTGGAAGAAGAGCCACGTGGTGGGCTAGGTGGCACCTTGTCCCTGAACAGAGCTGCCTTGGTTCCTCCAGCAGAGTACCCCTCCCCTCCTGCCCTGGCAGACAGCCCTGGCACGGCCTCCCCATCTTCCAGCCCTGGGGTCCTGGGCACACCGCAGCCTGTGTGTGAGCCTTCAGGATGCAGTCCACTTAGGAGCTACCTAGAAGTTCCACTCAGACAGGAAGGATGGTGGTTATGCAGTAAGGCACAGCTTCAGTGTGGGGTGGTAAGATCTGGAGAGGGATGGCTGCCCAGCAACTGGCCACCGTGCTGTGTACTTGAAAATGCCAACATGGTAAATTCATGTCTGCCCCTACAGTAACACTTAGAAATCCCAGCAGTCTCTCGAAAGCTGTGCTCTGCCCTCCTCTTGTCCTCTGAGGGCACAGCTGGGCGAAGCAGTGCAGAGTATGATTTCATTTTACTTAAGATGCAAGTAAAGAGACAGGACTAAAGGGTATGTGAACAGAAACACATTTATTACAAAAACCCAAAAACAAAAACAAAAACATTCACATTGTATTGAGCTACAATATGGCAGCAGATAAAAAAAAATTATTTTACACAGTTTAAGATAATTCCTAACAGAACATAGTTTTGTTGTCACGTGACATACACAGAATCCCGAGCACTTAGTAGCGGCGAGTGAAGCGGGCGTCGTTGGGTCTGCTCCCCCGGTTCTGGCCTCCAAATCCGCCTTGCATCCGACCCCGGGGGATCACATGGCCCCGAGAGGCCCCACCAGGGGCAAAGCTGCCACGTCTAAGAACAGAAGCAAAGTCTTTTGTTACCAAGGCGGTGCTCCTCTGCGCCCACTCCAGACCGCAGCCTTCAGACTGGCGGCCCATGCTCGGGGGCTCCCCGCCAGCCCCCACGAGAGGAAGCAGTGACAGCTACGACTGGGTCGTCTCTAAATGTTCCCCAAGGCCAATGTGCAAAGATGAAACAAAACAGAAGTGAGCTATCACTGACACATGCCTTACCCAGACATCCCGCCCCGGTTCATCATGTGACCTGGTCCTGAGTGACCGGACATACTTCTTTCGCCACCTAGAGAACAAGAGACACTTCTCAAATAACACTTCTTGCACAGGGTCAGGCCTCGCTGCTCCGAGTCACCTAGTCAACCCAAAGCCTACAGGTCTCTGGCAGACACTTAAGCCTAAGTTCTCACACATCCCACCCAGCAAAGACGTGTGGAGGGACAGAAGAGCAGGCCAGAGAGGCTGGGGACACGCACGTGGGCACAGAGCAGGTGCTTACCACAGACAAATCCTCACCTTGCCACCTCTTGTGGTCCCGGTCTATCATGCCTCCGTCAGCAGCACCCTGCCACGCGCGGTCATCCTCTATTCTCCGACTATGGTCCCCCCAGTCACGTCTGCCCCTTGGAAAAACATAATTTCTGATTTGGACTGCCCCCAGCTCTGCTGTTTAGAACAAAGGCAGTGGGTGCTGCTAAGTGGGCTGAACACTGTGTGTTCTCAGGTCCCAACCCCTTGGGACAGTGAGGGCCCTGCGGCTGGCACTCAGCTGATGGCCAGGGCCCTCTGCTGGACACATGGATCCTGTCAGTGGACTAGGTGTGAGATCCACAGACTCTGGGGTTCAGACAAACCTGGGAGGTGGCGGCAGCCCCCGGCCCTCACTCATTCTCTTGTCAGAGCCATATCCGCCCCACCCGTCTCGGGAGTCCCGACCGTGGCGCTCCGGTCCTCCGTGGCGTTCAGGGTAATGCTGAGTGAGAAAGAGCCAGATGAAAAGGCTTCACTGACACCCCTGGACCCAAGGGGCAATAAACCAAACACAACAGTGACAATAAGGTCAAAGGTAGTGTCAGCAGGCGCTGTGCAGACTTGCTTGTGCACACAGGCCCTCTCAACTCCTGTGACACCCATCTCCAAAATCTGCATAGGGCCTTAGTGAGGAAAAGATACTCAATCGAGTGGAGGAACAACAAAATTCCTCCTGCGACACTCGCCCTGACCAAAAGGCCAAGAACTGGGCACAGATGGACTCAGAGGGGTCCTTCACCAAGACAAGACCATGTTCTGCTCGGTCCCTGACAGCCCCATGAAACCATGGGAGCAGATGTGTCACCAGGGCAACTTTTACTTCTGGGCCTGGCAGCCTGCTCTCTCTCTGTCCAGGATGCAGGGCACCCCCTGAATGGAGCAGCAACCAACCCTGGGAGTATCCAGGTTCTAGGCATGCAGGGCCCACACTGAACACTATCTCCAGGGAGGCTAAAGTAGACCTGCACTCTAGGAAAGACAGTTTTAACTAAAAGTCCACTTTTTCCTTTCCTCCACTCCAAAGCCCATTCCTACTTTTTGAAAGAACATTTCAATCTGACATCTACAGAGCTAAAAGATACAAGAGGCAGTGGTGTCTTGGGCTCCACAGCCCACAACTCAACTTGTAGCCATGGTGGCTTTTAGCCAGGACCATGTCCCTGGTGAGGGAAAACTAGAGGAGTGCATGTGATGCAGCCCTGCCACTGCGCACGCCCGCGGGCTCTCCCGGGCAGGCAGGCGTCTCCTGCTCGATGCTCACAGCAGGGAGCTCAACTGCCTGTCACCAGTGTGACCACTAGCCCCACTTTCCAGGCCTCTTATTCCCAACCATATGCTAACACCAACCCTCAATTAAAGGGGTCAATTCTATATAATGTCTCCTCAGGGTACAACATAGGAAAGTGTCCACAGCAGGGTCCTCCCTGGTGGTGCAATGGGTCAATGTGCAGCAATATGAAGCTATCGCAGCTACTGCAGCATGAGTTCAATCCCCAGCTAGGGAGGTGACCCACAAGGTGTG